AGAGAGAGAGAGAGAGAGAGAGAGAGAGAGAGAGAGAGAGAGAGAGAGAGAGAGAGAGAGAGAGAGAGCGAGAGAGAGAGAGAGATGTGCCGCGTCCAATGTGCCACCTCTCCATCTCTCTTTCTGTCTCCGTCTCCCTGGCACAGTGCGTTCGTAGAAAATGGCCAAGAATCTTCCTGCGATTGGAGGAAGATTCGTCCCCGTTTTGAACAATATGACTGCACGGGGGGGGTCTGCGGAGAGAGAGAGAGAGAGAGAGAGAGGGAGAGAGAGAGATAGCCGATGCGTTCAACATGGCAAATCAATCGCGCTGGCTCTCTCTCTCTCTTTCTCCCCCTGCCCACACCCGTTTCTTTTCCTGTCGTTCTTTTGTACTTTGTCGTTCCTTCCACAACACCCGTCCAACACGGCCGATAACATGCCATGTTGGCTCTGTCAAGCAGGGCGAGGAACTGGTGGCTTAACTATGTTTGTTTGTACAAGTTGTAATACTGTTTTTGCTGACTTGCTGGGGGAATAGGAACCGGACTGACACTCCCCAGAATGGATATGGAGGCAAGAACAGAAGGAACTGTTAAAGAAAAAAAAAAAAGCTAAAAGCCTGTTTGTTTGTCAGAATAGAAAACGAGAGTTAGGAAACCTGTTTTTTGTTGTTCTAGGTTGAATTGCCATAATATCAAGAGTTTGCAGTCCAAATGGCTAGGGGCTGTTGGAAACATGTTGGGCGGAAATTGGTACTTCCCAGTCTGAATTTATTGTGGCCTGTGCTGAAAATGGTCTGGCCTTTTGCTGGTGTTATATGCAGCGCTCAAAAGTTGGCCACAGCCTTAAAAAATGACGAGTGGAAACTTCAGCCTCTGTGGAAACGGGTGAGTTGCAGGGGGCCCATGCCGAACCTCTTGTTGTTTTCTTCAGTTTCTTGCGCCAGTTGACCTACGTTCTGCGTCTGCACATTTTGCTGTACTGTACTCCATGTTGGCTGTTTGCGCTTTGTGATTCCATGCGTCTCTGCTCTCTGGCCTGTGAGTACAATGTGTTGGGCTTCATTCCTGACATGTTGTTCTCAATATGTTCTCAATGAGTTTTCTGAGCTCCTGCTACGACTTTTGTCCTTTTTGCCATTGCATTAATAGTGGCATATCCATGCGAGTTTAATGGT